CCAGTGGGAACAAGGAGGGTCAGAACATACTGACCACCAAGAGCTTGGGGGAGAGTCATAAATGGATGTGAAGTACTTGGGGACACAGAGCAACCTCTGTCCACTTGTCGCTAAAGGACAAGGTCTCTAATCATCATAATAGTAAGAATATCACAGTCACTGAACACCAACTATCATTACCAGGCCCTACTAGGTCCTCACTGAGCTGCAGGTGGGCAGAGAAGGCAGAGACTTAGGGTGTCCCAAGCCGTAGGCCAGTCCTCCCCAACCTGATGCCAAATGGGCACCCATCTGAACTTCCTGTGTCCTGTTCCGGGTTGACACAGGCCCAATTTACAAGGAATTGCAACCAACTCAAACAGCAGGGACTGAAGGAAAAACAGGATATCCAAGACCTCATCATGCTGCCCTTCATATGATGTAGGGTGGAAAGGCCGTCCCTGGGAGTCCAAATGCTCTTACCTTGTCCTTGTTAGGACAAGGCAAGTCACTTCCCTTCTCTGAACCTCAGTTTCATCAAATGGAAAATGAGGCTCTCAAAGTCAACCTCCCAGAGTTGTTAGAAGGACTGAGGAACAGCAGGCACACAGTAGCAACCAGATGTGCCTGTACCTACTGGAAGCTAGATTCTGGGCCCTGGGGCCAGCCGAAGCATGCGACACACTGCTGTTCTGGGAGCTTGGGAACTGGATCGGCCTCTCTCAATCTCTGGTATATATACAAACAAGTCCACCAGCTGCTCTGCAGGAGAAAGCGGTGGCAGTCTGCAGCCGTAAACATTTACAGCCTTGAAAGTCCAGCGGAGCAGTTCTGTCTGTCCTACAGGGTCGCTATGAGTCCGAACCAACTGGACTGCAGGGGGATTACCTGGAGTAGAAAATTCCACCAAAACTAATAGATATGCAATGAAAAGAGGAAAGCAAGTGGGGTTCAAGGTCACAATGTAAACTTGAGCCTGCATGAGTCCCTCTTCCTCTCTGGGCCTTAGACTCCCAGGCTTCTTAGCAAGAAGGCTGAGTGGATGAGCTCTTTGTTCTCCCGGGCCTTTGATGTCTGCAATGTCTTAAGTGTGGTTGTGTGACTTGTGAGCAGCCATCAGGGAGGAGGGCCATAGGAGACACCACAAGTTCATGACTCAGGACTGCTGAGGTCTGAGTGGCAGGAATCCAGCTCACACCAACTCACACAATAAAAAAAAAAAAAAGGAGAGAGAAATTGAATTGTATTTGATCTGAAAAGTCCCAAGGGATATACAGCTTCAGGAATAGCAGAGTTCAGGAACTCTAATGATGTATCTTCTCATTTCCTTAGTCTTGGCATCACTTTCTGGTGGATTTCGTTAGATAATTGCCCACCACCACCAAAGTCTTGGAGTCCTGGTGTGGTGCTGTAGGTTAATGTACTGCAAAGTTGGTTTGAACCGCAAGGTTAGGGGTTCAAGCTCACCAATCACTCCTCAGAAACCCTATACAGGGTCACTATGGGTCAGAACTGACTCAATGGCACTTAACAACAACAACCAAAGTCTTTAAGGAAAAAGCAAAACAACAGTCAGACAAGCCCATCTCCTCCTGCGTGGGCAGAGTCCCTTCATTCAGAATGTGGGGAAGCTCAGAGATATCCAGAAATCAGTACGAAGTTCTCCTAATTGCACGCAGGAAAGTGTGTCTGTTTTTGACATATGGGTCCAGTTCGTGCTGTCTTGTTCCTGTGTGCATGAGTGTGTGCACATGTATGTGGGTGAGTACATACGTGTGTGTACATATGTGTAAGCATGTGCAAGCTTGTCTAAAAGTGATACACTATCAATAGTAGGATCTAAGTGTAGACCCCTTAGGAAGAAAGGAGTCACGGTTTTGTCCCACTTTGGGTGATTTAACCTATAAATTCCTGCTCCCGTAAAAAATTTTTTTTTTTTACTGCTCAGAAACAGCAGTAAATCAAATCACTCTGAGTCAAAACCCAGGTGATGGCAGTGGGTTTAGGGTGGGTTTAGGTAGACTAGACATGGAGGTCACCTAAATATTTTGGGGGGCGGAGTCTTAGAGAAGGACAACAAAATCCTGTCCTCATGTGGCCTGGGTGAGGCTGCAGAGGAAAGGTGATCCTGAATAAGGTCTCCTTGGAAATTAGAAATGTTGAGTCACATATGAGAGAATGGGATCTCTGCCTGCTTTACAGCCTCCCTCCAGGGAGCCAACAGCTTCTAGCTCAAGGTCACACCAGAGCTCAACTGAGAGAATCTTCAGTACGATTGTTCTGGTACCAGCCACCGTGATTCCAAGGGGCTGTGCCAGAGTGAAATTGGAGTATTGGGGGGCAGGGGATGGTTCAGAAGGAAAAGGAAAGAGACAGGAAGCTGAGGGAAAGCTATCTATGTGGGTGGCTGAAATTGAGTGAAAAAGAAATCTAAGGGGGAGGATCATGAAAATGTGCAAAAATGGTGTTTGCACAGTAGCCAGACCTGTTACTGTTGAATCGGTTCTGACTCATGGTGACAGGTGTGTTGCAGAGTAGAACTGCTTGTAAATTTTTCTGGTTGTAACCTATACAGAGAAATAGATCACTACTCCCTTCTTCCAGAGTGCCACCAATTGGGTTCAGATCACCAACCTTTAGGTTCTTGTTGTTAAGTGCCATCGAGTCCATTTTGACTCATAGTGACCTTGTATAGGATTTCCTAGGAGTGGCTGGTGAGTTTGAATTACCGGCCTTGCAGTTAGCAGTTCAGTGCTGATCCTACAGAGCCACACAGGTCTTGTTAGGTCAGTAGTTGAATGTGAATTGTTTGTGCTGCACAGGACCTTCTTTGAACAATGGACTGTGGGAATCTAGAATTATGTCTTTGTATTATGGCAAACTATCCTGTATCTTAACAGTTATTTAGTCTAATTTCTGAGTATGACTAGTCTTGGGGACTTTACCAACTTCCCAGTTGGTGGCTGGTCTTACTGACATCCCAGAGAGACTCTGAGTGTGCTAGGGGCAGGTCAAGGTCTGAGAGACCTGCATGGGAGGGAACAGTAAATATAATCACTTCTGGTTGTGATCATGTCTTGTAAGAAGAGAGCAAGAAACTGAGATCACGAGTCATGGGGAGGTGTTACCCCAGGTGGGCAGTCAGGGAGGTTACTCCAGGATGTGGCAGAGAAACAGCTGGGGCAGGGATGAGGCAGTTCAGGGCAGAGAGAATGGTCTACACAAAGGCCCAAGGTAAGAAAGAGAACAAAAGATAGGTCAATAGGGGTAAGGGGAATAGGGATAGGGTTAAGTTTGGAGAAGCCACAGGGGCAAATGACACAGGTGAGGACTTCATATTCAAACTGCTGCGTTGAGTGTGGTCTGAATGGGAGCAAGTGTGGCAAAGGGGCCAGGGATAAGGAGATTGTTGGTCTTGTGTCTTCTGAAACAGACTGTGCAGCCTTAAGCAAGACACAAACATCTCTGGGACTCACTGTTGCCCATACATGTAGGTAACATGGGAGCTGACGCCACATGCTCAGGAGGAAACTATCAATGAGATGAAACTGGCAGTGAGCTTCCATCATTGTGCTCATTTGAAATGAGGCTAGCTCAGCCCATGAGAGATTTTGTAGAGGCCACTCAGATATCAGAGAAGGATGGGCAGAATGACCTCACAGGTCCCTGATCCTCATCCTCACTGGATGTCAGTTTTAGGCCCATCTTTGACCCTGTCTTATTGGGTGACCTCAGGCTGGTTGCTTCCTCTCTCTCAACTGCAGTTTCCAAATGACATGTGGGTCCCCTACCAAGATATTCTCCAGTTTGTCTCTTCTTCGTCTATCTCCCAGACCCCCATCTACAATGGCCATGCCTTGGCAGCTGGAGGCCCTTGTAAGGCCTTGTCTTAGTCTTGGCAGAGAGTCTTCCCCATACCCATCCATTCCAATTCAAGCATCCTGGGTGACCTTTGGGTTGGAAGTCTCTTTGCTCATCTATATCTGGGGTTATTTTCTTTGGAAATTCCTTGGATTACCTGGAACCAGGCCAGGCATCTGTGGGCAAAGTCCTATCCTACCACCACCATATAAGAGCCAACATCGCTCAGAAGACTCCCCAGGAGACTGTGCAGGAGAGCTAGGATTTGGTGAGCATCCTCCTCCAAACCTGTGAGTACTGGATTTACCTCCTGTTGATACCCCTTGCTTTGGGACCAAGAGACAGAGGGGATTGGCTGCTTGTGTTGATCAGCTCATTCTTTTAGCCAACAAATATGTTTTGAATAGCTGTTCAGTTCAGTAGTGGAGTCTAGTGGAGGCTGGGGATTTAACAGTAAAATCAGACAGTGTCCCTTCTTTGAGGAGTTCATAGCCGGTGGGAGAGGCCGACATGTTGTCAGATGATTGGAACCTAGGACTCTGATCAAAGTATGAAGGAAGCTGAGATCATGGGGTGGGAATACCTAACCTAGACTCTGGGGAGGAGCCTACAGGAGGCTTCACAGAGAATATAATGTCTTGCTTAGGCTTAGAGAATCAGTAGAATCAAATATACGTAAATTGACTTAGGTAAAAAAAAAAAAAAAAAAAAAAGCGAGGAAGAGGAAAGGTTCTGGCAGAGAAAACAGCACATGCAAAGGACCTTTGTGACAGAGCCTAGACTTGGAGCCAAGTGTGACGTCACCTGCTAGTAGCACTTCCATTCCTTGATTGTGTGTTTCTGTGCACGTTGCTCTAGTTTTCTGACCTTGGCTGCCCGTTTGTATGATAAGAGATAACCACATCTGTGGTGCTGTAGGGTAAAGCACTGTAATGCAAGGTCGGTTCAGACCACAGGGTCAGCTGTTCAAACTCATCAGCTGCTCCTTGGAAACACTATACTGGGTCGCTATGAGTCGGAATCAACTCAATGTCACTTAACACCCATAACCTAAAAGGGATGTTGAAGTGTAAGAGTGGTTATTGCTCATTGAATATTCCTTTTCCTTTTGGGTAATTCTCTCTGTTCCTCCTATGACTGCCTAGGTGTGAGGATAAAAGATGGTTCCGCTTTGGAAACTTGTTCTCTTGTGTGGCATTCTCACTGGGACTTCCGCATCCCTTTTGGGGAATATTGGCAGTGAATTGAATGTTTTGGACAACTTAAAGCCTATTGTTGATGACGGACGTAAGCTGGTTGACAACACACTTGATATCCTTGACAACAAAATTTCAGGTGAGTCAACAAGCACTGTCATGGCACCCAGGAAGTAGCCTTAACGTTCTGACTACACTACCATAGGCTGCCACCTGGCGATGCCCTTCATAGGTGGTTTACTGAGAGGTGGCTATTCCATTTCTGACTCATTCAGTTATTCATTTTCTAAAAACAAGCAATGCTGTAATGAATAGATTTTTTTTACGTATGTATGTTTAAGTGCTCAGCTACTAACTGAAAAGTCAGTGGTTTGAATCCACCTGCTGCTCCATGGGAGAAAGCTGTAGCAGTCTGTTTCCATAAAGCCTTGGACACCCCTTGGGACAGTTCTACTGTGTTCTATAGTGTCTCTATGAGTCGAGGGCAACAGGTTGGAGAGGTGTGTTTGTTTCATATCCTGGTAAATCTTGAAAATATATGAATAAGATAAAATCCTCAAAGTGGAATTTCAAAAGGTGTATGCATTTTAAATGATGGCAGATGCGATAAATTATCCCCAGCATCAGGTATGGAAAACTTCAAACGTATTGCCAGTCTAACAGGTGACCGATTATGACTCATTTGTCCTTGTGCTTCTCTAATTATGAAATACTCCGCTCATTTTTTCATGTTTCCTGGTGGTAGTGGTTGTGTGCCATGGAGTTGGTTCCAACTCATAATGACCCTCTATAGGGTTTCCGAGTCCTGGTGAGGCACTGCAGGTTAATGTGCTGGACTGCAAGGTCGATTTGAACTCACCAGCTGTTTCTTGGAAACCCTATACAAGGTCGTTATGAGTCAGACCCAACTCAATGGCACTTAACAATAATAACAAATCTTGACTGGAGCAGAAAGCCTCATCTTTCTCCGGTGGAGAGGGTGGTAGGTTCAAACTGTGAACCTAGCACTTAGCAGTCCAATGTATAACCCCCTACACTACCATGGCATATTTGAACTTAGATATTCTACTCATATTCTCAGCATAGTGTTCTGTTGGATTGTGTCCGTTTTTGTTACTGATTTTTGTGAATTTCTTGGAAATTAAGGAAATGCATCCTACCTAGTCAGCTTCGTATTTAATTATACCTGTTTTTTATGCTGATTCCTCAAAAGAATCAGATTTTCGTTATTTCCCGTCAACATTAACAGCACATTGATAAACATACTTTATAAGAGGAGGAGACTGTTGCAAATGGTTGTCTTTAGGCAAACTTCAAAGAGACAGAAAGGTCCCACTTTCTAATTTCACAGCTGAAACAATGAGACCCAGAGACAGAGGGTCTGGATCAAGGCCACTGATTGAGTTATGTGACTAGGTATAGTTATAGCACCTATTGTTGTTGTTGTTATGTGCCGTGGAGTCAGTTCCGACTCATAGCGGCCCTGTACACGTTTGCCGAGGCTGTAATCTTTACAGAAGCAGAATGCCTCGTCTTTCTCCCATGGAACAGCTGGTAGTTTCAAACTGTTGACCATGAAATTAGCAGCCCAATTCATAACCATTACATTGTTGTTGTTGTTAAGTGCCATCGAGTCGATTCCAACCCATAGAGACCCTGTACAGGGTTTCCGAGGCTGTAAATCTTTACGGGAGCAGAATGCCTCATCTTTCTCCCGTGGAACAGCTGGGAGTTTCGAACTGCAACCTTGCAGTTTGCAGCCCGATTCGTAACCACTACGCTACCAGATTAGTTCTAATTAAATTTGCATCAATATAACCAGGTAGGCATTGTCCATCACAGTACTAAATTATAGTACAGCTCTGGTAGCGTAGTGGTTACGAATCGGGCTGCTAATCTCACAGTCAGCAGTTCAAAACTACCAGCTGTTCTGCAGGAGAAAAATGAGGCTTTCTGCTCCCATAAAGATTTGCAGCCTCAGAAACCCTGTGCAGGATCACTATGAGTCAGAACCAACTCCACAGTACTTAACAACAACAACAACAACATGATTGTGTTTTTTTTCTTGGTCAGTCTTTTGCTTTCCTTTGAATTGTTGTGAGTTAATGTTAATGTGCTGGACTGCAAGGTTGATTTGAACCACAAGATCAGTGGTTCAAACTCACCAGCTGCTCCTTGGAAGCCCTATACAGGGTCACTATGAGTCAGAACTGACTTGACGGCACTTAACAATAACAAGTTTTTTACTGGAGCAGTAGAGAGGCTGATTCAAACTGTGAACCTAGCACTTAGAAATCCCGCGTGTAACCCACTACACTACCATGGCATATTCGGTTCCAACTTGTAATGACCCAGTATAGGGTTTCCAAGAAGTGGCTGGTGGATTTGAACCACTGACCTTGTGGTCAGCACTGTCAGCTAGAACTCCTTGAATTAGTGATTGCTTTATAGTTTCTTAAGTTTCCTACACACACACCTTTATCATTTTCATGTGTAGTATGACTACATTTGTAGCATCATTTCCCTTTTTTCTGTAGGCCTCTTGCTTCTATATGATTTATTGTTCTGTATTATTTATTATGTATTACTCCTGGTATAGTGCTGCAGGATAAGCACGGGACTGCTGACTGCAAGGTTGGTGGTTCAAAACCACCAACCACTCCTTAGAAACCCAGTACAGGGTTGCTATGAGCTTCGATTGATTCAAAGGTACTTAACAACAAAAGGCCTACTGCAAAGCGGTTGTCCTGAGACTCCCCTCTACCATTTTAATGGGTCAGAGTCATTTTATTTTTTCTTAATTCTAAATTGTCCTATTTATTAGTTTATCCTCTAACTTTGTTTGATCTAGTTTTTAAGCATGGATGTTAATTCCATTTGGGCCAATAGAATCCTAACTCACTCTTAGAAGCTTAAATTGGTCCTGAAATCTTTACTCCATTGCATCATTACGGTCAACTGTACTTTGAGGAGGCAGCTCTTCCCCAGTTGTATTTTGAGTGCCTTCCTACCTGAGGGGCTTATCTTCCAGCACTATGTCTGACAATATTCTGGTGCTATTCATAATGTTTCACTATTCAATATTCTGGTGCTATCTGACAGTGTTTCATTGCTATTCATAAGGTTTTCAGAGTCCTGGTGTGGTGCTGTATGTTAATGCGTCAGACTGCAAAGTCATTTGAACTGCAAGGTTGGCAGTTCAAGCTCACCAGCTGCTCCTTAGAAACCCTATACAGGGTCACTATGGGTCAGAATCGACTCAATGGCACTTAACAACAACACATTCAGAAGTTGTCCATTTCACCTCTTCCTACTCTGTCTGGAAGTTCAGCTAAAACCTGTCCATCATGAGTGACCCTGATGGTAAAGTTTCACAGCAACACTCAAGCCACCGCAGTACAACAGACTGACAGACAATTGGTGGTTCCTCATCTGTGAAATGTAGATAGTAGCAATACTAACCTCACTGGGTTGTAACAGAGATTGGATGAAATAGCATAACCTTATCTAGTGCCTGGTATATAGTAGCTGCCTCATAAATGGTTGTTGTTGCTGTTGTTAAGTGTCATTTCTGACTCATAGTGACCCTCTATAGGGTTTCTGAGGCTGTAAACCAGCTTTCTCCCCTGGTGGATTAGAACTACCAACCCTGCAGTTTGCAGTGCTTATACTCCAGGACCTAATTGGCCATTGTTTTTGCCAGATATCCTTCCAGACCTGAAGGAGAAACTCCCTACATTGCAGGAACCCAGCTTCTTGAAACAGGCCTATGAAAAGCTTCAGAAAAGTAAAGCAGTGTTGAGCAATGTCTTTTCCCGTTTGATTCCAAGAATAATAACATTTTTGAAGTAAGTTGGTTACTTTGTGGTGAAGGTCTTTGCTCTAAGAAAATGAAATGTGTATCTTTGGGGAGATGGGTTCGGGATCAAAGACAGAAAGGTGCACAATCTTGTTTCTCCCACACAGCCTCAGTGGTCTGAGCCCAGGCCCATTAGCACTTGCATAAACTGAAGATGGTCCCAGTGTTAATTGGGGTATCTTGTGAGTTTGGGCTTCTACATACTGTTATTTAAGGGCTAGAGTAAACATTCCCCTCACACTCACCTCCAACCTACTTGCTGGTTCCTGAAACCCCTTTACCCAGGAATAAAAAAATTCCTTCTCCAATGGCTGTTCAGAATATATGTCCGAATCCCCTTCAGGAGGGAAAAATTTACAGCTCCATGCAGTGACTCCATCCATGAGATTTTGGAGTCAGGTAGTTCTGGGTTATATCCTGCCTCTGGCTCTTATTTCACTTGGGATCTTGGGGAGAGTTTCATCTATCTGTGTCTTACCATAAAATGGAAAGCATCAACCCACTGAGCAGGGTTCTTGTAAAGACCAAAGGAAGCAATGTTGTTGATGTTCAAATGCTCAGCATGATGCCTACATAAAGAAGGGCTCAGCATGTAACTGTGATGAGGAATGACAAGTATGAATTTGGATTTTGTGTAGGTTGAAACTTAGCAAATACAACATCATAGATATCAAGGCTGAACTGACTCCTGATGGTCAAGGTCTTAAAATGAAGATTCCCGTCACCACTACTGCCGTGGACAAGTGAGTATGCACAGGAATCCAGGGTTTGAGGGAGGCAGGGCATGCAACACCCCACAACCTTGGAACCAGGCACCTCTTCACTCTGTCTTGGTCTCCCAAGCTATACACAAGAGGCCTTTCCAGATCTAAAATCCCCATCTCAAAAATGTTCCAATGAGCTTTGGTCATAACCAAGTCTTTTTCAAATGAATGCACCACTGACTATACATGCTACTTTTAAAAATCATAACATTTATCTAACTATAGAATTTATAAAATTATGAAGAAGATAATCACTCATAATCTTACTCTTCAGATATAAAAATTGATCACTCTTAGGCAAAATTTCTCCCAGTATTATTTTGTCTCAAAGTTCACTTTTAAAAACCATGAGCATGGATTAACGCACATATTAGTGGGCAGTGTATGTATAATCAAGGGCTTATATGTAAAACATAATTTTTAATGATTTTAAATTACTTTAAAAGTTCTATATATAGAGAAAAATGAGCATGCTTGGAAGAATTTTAAAAATTAAATGCTCTGAGGACTATTGGCAAGATGGGGGACTAGGCAGACACACTACACAGGCCCTCTACAAAACAGACATAAGTGACCAAGTAAAACAGACACAGATGAAAATTCTGACACCCTGAACTTCAGAAGAAAGATTAGAGAAGTGAATGGAGTGCTTGCTGGGAGGAGAAGCCAAACAGGAATGGCAAAAGAGGGAGACTAACTAGTGAACGGCTCGCCAGACTCAGATGGACCATATTGTGAGCAGCTTTGGCAGTGGAAGGAGGCCTGGCAGAACAGATTAGCACTGGCAAAGGGAAAGGTGTGATTTCTTCTTTTCCCCCATGCTTCCCAGGTGACCAGAGGTGTGGCCAATTCCCATCATCATCCACATGGATTTCAGATGGGATTGGCTCTAGACCTACAAAAACTGTAGTCACCAGACCAGCATTTAACAAGTCACCCTACTCCCAGCTGCCCTGTGGTTCTAACAAACACTGAAACCAGCTCCATCAAGGGCCCCCACAAACTATTTCAGGATTGAGTGTCCTGAACATAGATAACACTGAGGTCAATAGGAACTCCATCTAGGGCCAGGAACTCTGCTGTCACATCCCTTCCACAACCACCTCATGACCTCCTTGAATTGCAGGAGCCCCACAGAGATTTCTTCCCTCTGGGCCCAACAGCTGCACTGCTTGTTTCTACAAATACAACAACCCCACAATGCCCCAGAGACAACAGACAATTTTAGCTCACCACACAAAGAAACAAGAGAGAATTGTGTAAACAAATGATCAAGATGCAGAAACAAAACACATTTCTGAGGGGAAAAAAGGCAATGGAACTAACTGAGAAAGAATTCAAATGAATGATATTTTGGTATCTTCAATGAATTGACAGAAAGATTGAGGAAAGCAAGATCACAGGAGAAACTTTAGAAGAATTCAGGAAAATGCTACAAGAACAAACAGACTAAATAAATGCAAAGTTTGAAGAAATTAAAAAACCTATAACTATAAGTCCAGAAGATTAAGACTAAGATTTCAGAAATGGACAATACATTGAAAGGACAAAGGAGAAGACTTGAAGCAATGGGAGCCCAAATTAATGAACATGAAGATAAATCTCTCAATACTAGTATTCTAGAAGAACAATCAGAAAAAAGATGGAAAAAATTCAAAGAAAGCCTAAGAATTATGTGGAACATTCTGAATAGGAACAACTTACGGGGGTGACTGGAATTCCAGAATAGGAAGAGACCAAAAGAAAGCACAGAGAAAGTGTTGGAAGAACACTTTCTCCTAACATCATGAAAGATAACAATATAAGCTTTCAATACGCTGAACAAAACCCAAACAGGGTAGATCCCAAAAGAAAATCACCAAGACTTATCATAATCAAACTTTCCAAAATCAAAGACAAGGAAAGTATCCTGAGAACAGCTCCAGGAAAATGAAAAGGTACCTACAAATGAGAAGCTCTTTATTCTCAGCAGTAATCATGCAGGGAAAAAGGCAATGGGATGACATTTATAAAACTCTAAGAGAAAAAAATGACCAACCAAGAATCATACACCCAGCAAAGCTGTCCCTCAAATACAACAGCAAAATTAAGGCATTTCCTGATAAACAGAAATTAAAATAAGACAGAAAATTTAAAAACAACTTTACAAAAAATGCTAAGGTGTGCTCTTTAGACTGAGAACTAATAATAGCAGACAACAACCTGAGATTACCATATATGACAACACCACCCAGATCTTAATCCAGATATAGAAGTATTTAAAATAAAACAAGCCTGAAAGACTAAAAACAGGGAATCAGAGATATCAATGTATAAATGAAGTCAACTATAAAGCAAAAAGAGAGACTAGTGTAGATACAGAACTTCCAAATGGCAAGGAAGTCAAGTAGATTTCAAGATAAAACAGACTGCTTTAGGCAGGGAAAGTTAATAAATTACAGGGTAACCTAAAAGAAAAATAATACATCTGCACATCAAAGAAGAAAAAAAAAAAAGACAAAAATCAGAAAGATTTAGTAAACAAAAACACAACAGAAATGAAAATAAAAAGAAAACCCACAAACAAAATGAACTCAGCACAGAAAATTATTTGGAACAAAGAATCCAGCAACACCACAAAAAGCATACACAGAAAAATGGCATCAATTGATATTTACACTGAATGTAAATGATTAAATGTACTAATAAAGAGACATAGAGAGCACAATGGGAAGCAGGATCCTTCAATATGCTATCAGTAAGAGACACATCAAAAAGATGGAGACAACCTAAATAAATTCCCATCAACAGAAGAATGGTTAAACAAACTTTGGTACATACGTGCAATGGGATAGTACAAAACACTGAAGAATAATGATGAATCTGTGAAACACCTCACAACATGGTTGAACCTGAAGGACATTATGCTGAGTTAAACCAGCCAATCACAAAATGACAAATATTGTATGAAACCAGTGTTGTAAAAAGTTTAAATAAGATTTTCTTGATAAAAGAATCTATGGTGGTTACAGGGGAGAGGGAAAATTACTCACAGGCTAGAGGGTAGACACATGTTAACATGGGTGACAGGGCAGGCAACAAACAGCCAGAAGGAGGTTAGCAGAGGAAAGATGAAGGTAGCCGGAGACACAGAGAGGCATGCAATAGTTAAAGTGAATAGAGGAAATATTGTTAACTGTTGGTACATGGAGGGGATTGCGACCATGTAATGAAGCAAAGTGTGGTGCTGTGGGTTAATGCACTGGACTGCAAGGTCAGTTTGAACTGCAAGGTTGGTGGTTCAAGCTCACCAGCTGTTCCTTAGAAATCCTATACAGGGTCGCTATGATTCGGAACCATGTTGACAGCACTTAACAGCAACAATGAAGCAAAGTGTATGATTTGTTGAATGTAAAATTGATGATCTGTAACCCTTCACTCAATTTACCATAAAAAGTTGAAAACAATTAGATGCACTATTAATTCCACCAGTCATTAACTGTGAAGTCTTGAGATAGTTATCAAGGTCTGTACCAAGGTCTCCTTGTTCATAAAATAGAGACGTACTAGTACTTCCATATAGCATTGCTGTGATTATTAAATGGATTTGTCCATAATAATACTTTTTAAACATGATTAGCACATAATATAGGAGCCCTGGTAGCACAACAGTTAAGCACGCAACTGCTAAGCAAAAGATGGTCAAAAATAACTATTATTATGATTTTAATTAGTAATGTCATACTGCATTAACAATTTCATATGAACTGAATTCATGTGGCCAGAAGAATCCCCTAGTACAAAAATGTTAAATCACATAAAGAATGTGACCTGAATGATACTGACATTATCCATGGACATCATTAGTAATGTTCACATTAGAAGCACCCAACTGAACAATATGAAGGGCTTTCTTGACCTCTGTTCACAATGAATCTTATTTCTTTCTGGTCTCTCATCAGAAATGTCCAACTGAAGGTCTTATTGGATCTCCTGACTCTAGTCAAAGTTGATATTGATGCCAAGACTGACATCCCAAAGATGATCCTGGAAGAGTGCACACCTGACCCAGCCAGCATCCAGCTAACCCCCCTGGACAAGTAAGGTCTATTGCCCAAAATCTTCCCAAACCAACTCAGTAGAGCTGACGCCCCCCAATTTCAGTCCTAGTGTCCTGGCATGGCACTGAACAGTTAGCCACAAGGTCCGAGGTTCAAACTCACCAGCTGATCCTTGAAGACCCTATACAGGGTCGCTATGAGTCAGAACCAACTCAACAACACTTAACAACAACAATTTCAGCCTTATTTCTATACCTAGGAGGTAGCATAGTGTGATGAAAATTATTTCAGGCTCTGGGGTCTTAATGTAGGTTCAAATCCCAACTCTGCCATTATCTTGCAACTTGGTAACCAACTGACTCTCTCTGAACTTCAGTTTTCCATCTATAAACTGTGGATGATCAATACCTACTTTTAAGCTACTGAATTGCTCAAAAGATGAAATTCCAGTCACGTATTTAGAACAGAGCTTACTCAGCACATAATAAGCTCTTAGTAATAATAATAATAATATATCTGTGCTAATTTTCTGTTAACTTGTTCTCTCAGTTACTGAGAAAAGAGTGTCAACATCTCCAACTATAACTGGCTTATTTCACCTTTCAGCTGTCGGTTTTGCTTCCTGCATTTTGAAACTCTGTTGTTAGGTAATTACACATTTAGGATTGTTATGTCTTCTTGGAGAATTGACCCCTGCAATGCCTCTCCATAGCAATAATTATTCCTATTCATTGTATCTACCTTCTCACCTCCAGTTGAGGGGATGGTGGTGGTGGTTACATACCGTGGAGTCGGTTCCAACTCATAGTGACCCTGTACAGGGTTTCCAAGGCTGTAAATCTTTACGGGAGCAGAAAGCCTCATCTTTCTCCTGCAGAACAGCTGGTAGTTTCAAACTGCTGACCCTGAGGTTAGCAGCCCAATTCATAACCACTACGCTACCAGAGCTCCTTAGTTGAGGGGAGGGAAGGAATAAATACCTGCCATGGGCTCTAATTTCAGATTGTTCCCAAATCATCTTTCACCTACTGGAAACTTTCTGAAATGAGATCTTTACATTTTAATCTTTCCATTTAAATCATTGATCCCTGCTAATGCACAAAATCTACATCTCTTAAACTGTGCTTGAAAGAGCATATTTGGCCCAGGGAGAACGAGCCTTGGTCAGTGACTGGGAGGGAAGGGCCTACACCTAAAAGAAATGGCCTAGGACTGTGATGCTGAGCCTGGTTGGCAACCTTAGCCTACCAGTACAAGGTGGACCCTTAACTCTAAGCCCTGATGACCATGGGAGAAGGTCACTCCACCCTTCTCCCACCATGAGATTTGACCCCCTAGAACACAAACTCATTGCCATCAAGTTGGTTCTGACTCCTCTGGACCCAAAGGACAGCATAGAACTAACCTATAGGATTTCCAAGGCTGTGAGTCTTTGTGTAAGCAGACTGCCACATCTTTCTCCCACAGAGCACCAGTGGGTTCAAAGCTAAGTGCTTTACTTGCTGTGCCACCAGACGTCCTCTGGCCCCCTAGAGACTCCCCCTAAATCAGAGAACAACACCATGGCTTCATATTAGTTGGAAAGGGTGGGGCACAGACTCAGATTCCTGAGTCCTGCTAGACTACCTTGCTAAGCAATTCCATGGCATTCATTTCTCTGCTCTGGGTCTCAAGGTCCACGTCTGCTCCTCTAAATCCTTTCTTTTCTTTTCATTTAGGATTGAATCCCAAACTTTTATCCTGGCTGCTAAGATTCTGCTTGGTCTAGACCCATCCTCACATCTCTCCCCATC